CCACATTGAGGTGACCCCCCCCGTCCCAGAAAGCAGGGAGGGCCCGTGTGACCTCCCCACGGCTGCGGGGTCTGTGGGGGCGAGTGCCTGCCCTCACCTGCTCACCTGTCTGCTGGGGGGCTGCCACGTTTCGAGGGCTCTCAGGGCAGCCGGACGATGCCAGCACCAGGGTCAACGCTGGTGGGCAGAGCGAAGACAGCGAGACACTGGGCTGTCCCACTGGGTGCTCTTGACCTGTGCCAGGGGCCTGTGACACCCTGAAAACCATCACCAGGGAGTCACCAAGACAAACCCAGGGCCAAGGAAGGGGTGATGGCTGCTGGGAGTGTGAACTGGGGTCCCAACCCACGAGATCATATAGCAGCACTGCCTAAAGCAGGACCAAAAACCTCCACGCACCAGCTGCCCCCCTGGCTCAGCCTCCTGCCACTTCTGAGCTATAGGGCAGCAGCAGCTCCTGCCCCCCAACCACGCCGGGAGGGTGTCCGCGGGGTCGGGGCAGCTCTTACCTCTGACTCCCTGGGGCTGCAGTTGGTCTTGCTCACGCTTGTGGGAGTAAATAGGTGATTTGGGACTAAAATCCTGTCTTTCCTTCCCCAAGATCACAGCACAGACTGGCTCCTGGCACCACCAAGCCAAACTGGATTTCAACTGGTGATCTGTAAGGTGAGATGCTGCGTCTTCCTGCTCTGTCCCTGGGCTGCTCAAGACCACGCGAGGCCACCGAAACTGCCTAAGCTGCCATAGAAAAGGTTTTGTGTCTAATGGGATATTTGCCAGCAAATTCAAGCCATGAACACTATATATTTCTTTATTTGTAAAGGTGTTTGAAGTCCTTGAATTTACCCTTTGGCCACTTTAAATCTAGTTTCTAATCCCCAGCGCAGTTAATCAAATCCACAGTGGTTTGAATTATGAGATGTCTGGGGGGGATTTATAGCTTGTATTGCTGATTATACCTTGACTTTATTATATTGCAAATATCTAACTTATGGTCACGGCTGAGATTTACAATCCTCAGGTAGGTGCTTAGGATAACTTTTAGCAACTCCAGATGTAATTGGAGGTGACTGATGGGGCTGTCGCCACAGATAAACACGTAACCTGTAAAATGTTAACGCTCTTAAGACAGGGAGAGAAGAGGCAGAATAGGTGAAAAGGGTGGGTCGGCCTTAAAAAAGAGAAAGAAAAAATAATTGGGTATATCGCTGAGCAAGGCTCCAGGATGCCTGGTCTGGCTGAGGCATCCCTGCCTGGGAAGGGGGTTTGGGCTTGCTGGTCTCCAGAAAATACCAGGATTTAGATCTTTGATCCTTTTTGCTCTCGCCAGAAGGTTTTTAGGGTTTGAAATAGCCCTGGGGAGGGGGAATGGTACTCACAGAGCTGATGCCTGCCTCCCCAGTTCGGGGCGGGCTTTGCGCCTGCGGCTCTTTCAGACCTGACAGGCAGTTTCTCCCCTGTCTCGGAGGAGCAGCAAGTCCCACGTGGGTGCGTGCCCCTTGGCCAGCATGACGAGCGAGGTGGTGGAGAACGAGTTTGAGTTTTACTCCAAGGCGGAGAAGTACTGGAAGGACGTGCCTGCCACGGTGGATGGCATGCTGGGGGGCTATGGCCATATCTCGAGCATCGACATCAACAGCTCCAGGAAGTTCCTGCAGAGGTTTCTACGGGTAGGTGGCACAGTCTGTCATGCTCCCAAAGCCCCATCTTTCTCCCAGCTCAGAGCTGGGCTCTTCCCTGCGAGTTGCTCCATGGGATCCTCCATTGTGTGGGTGCTGGGAGAGCTTTGCCCTGCAATGGGCTCCCCATAGCCCAGCCCTGTCCCGCGTGGTTGCCCCATTTCTCCTCTGTGGGTACCTCGTGGTGGGATTCAGCCCCTCGTGGTTGTTGTTCCAGGATGGCCCCAACCGGACAGGGACAACTCGGGCTCTGGACTGCGGGGCAGGCATCGGACGGATCACCAAGCGGTTGCTGCTGCCTCTCTTCAAGACGGTGGACATGGTGGATGTGACGGAGGACTTCCTCACCAAGGCCAAGAGCTACCTGGGAGAGGAGGGCAGGCGGGTGCGCAACTACTTCTGCTGCGGCCTCCAGGACTTCAGCCCTGAGCCAAACTCCTACGATGTCATTTGGATCCAGTGGGTCATCGGTGAGGGTCACTCAGCTCGTGGGGGGTCTTGCCAGCCTGTCCTCTGTCCTGCTTCCCCTGAGGGGCAGGTGCCCCATGCACTGGGGAGAGCTTTGGGCAGGAGAGCTTGAGGTCTGCATTAAGAATGAGCATCACACCATGGGTGGGAGGCTGAGTTGGGGACCTGCCCACCTTGGGCACTACACTTCCCCCAAGCTCTTGGAGGCCAGGGCAGGAGTGTGGGTTGGAGTTGGATAGAGCCTGGGGGACATGAGTTGGGACACCCCCAAGCTAAAGCTTTCACCTGCAAATGGCTCAAGTATTTGGCTGCCTGGATCAGGAGGGATCCCAGCTGCAGTCCCCTGGTCTCCTCCCCTCCTATCACGTGCTGCCTGGGGCTCCTGCCACAGTCACCCCGTGCCCTCTAACACCCGCTCTGCCCCTCCAGGACACCTCACTGACAACCACCTCTCCGACTTCCTGAGGCGGTGCCGTGCCGGCCTGCGGCCCAACGGCATTGTGGTCATCAAGGACAACATGGCTCAGGAGGGCGTGATCATGGACGATGTGGACAGCAGTGTCTGCCGGGACCTGGACGTGGTCCGTAAGATCATCCGCCGAGCTGGGCTGCACCTCCTGGCCGAGGAGCGCCAGGAGAACTTCCCCGATGAGATCTACCACGTCTACACCTTTGCCATGAGATGAGGGCGGCTGGTGGTGGGAGAAGGTCTCTCCGGGGCCAGCTCGGAGCACAGGCCAGCACAGTGGTTCCTGCCGGGGCTGGGAGGGGTGAGGACTGTGCCTTCACCACAGGGTGGCAGATGGTGGCGAGGGTGTCGTGACTCCCTCTCTCCGGGGCTGGTGACAAGGACGGGGCTTTGTCTTCCAAGTTGCTGCTGTTTGTGAAAAAGAGGTGTTTGCCAAATACATTTTCCTGCTGTTGCACTTCTGCGCGTTGGCTTTTGTCAGACGTGCTGTTGGCTTGATGCCACCTTTGGGGGCTCTGTACAGAAGCAAGGGGGTCTCTCCCCTCCAAGAGGCGTGCTTGGTGGGCACCAGCAGGTTGCTGACAGCAGTCACACAGGGCTCCTGTTGGCCAACAGGAGCTCGTAGCAGCTCTGTGAGGGTCTGGACTCTCTTCCTCACTTGGGTGTTTGACCCTTTACCGCTCTTGAAGTTGCTGCTGCTGCTCATAGCAACAAGCTAGGGAAGGCAAATGGGAGAAACGGCTGCCATTTCCCCATGGTGGCTTGGGGAGGCAACACCAGGTGCTGCAGCTTTGGGGGGGGCCTCTCTAAACCCATGAGCAGGTCACCCACACGTGCAGCAAAAAGGGAGGTGGCTGTAATCCTGAGTCCCCCACATCCTCCTCCAGGGATAGGGGTAACCCAAAGCCCTGCAACCCTGGGAGAGAGCTGGTGCGCTCTGGGCATTAATGGGGAACCCACTCTGAGCAGCCTCCGGACCCCCCAGCCCGTTACCGCAGGCTCACAGTGATGCCCAGTGCCTCCTGCTTGAACGCTGGGGTGCTATGGCTGCTCCTCCAACAACCCACACCATCACCCGGCTTTGAACACTCCCGTCTCCTCCTTGGCCACATCCACTTAATTTTGCCCAAGTCCAGTCACGTGCTCTTGCCAACCCAGCTGGCAGAACAGCTTGCCAGGTGGGCAAGGAGACCCCGGTTGCAGCCCATCCCTCCAGTTGGGCTCACACACGATTCCCCCCAGCCCCACAGAGCCCTCTCCTCTGCCTCATCTCTCCTGCAGAAGAAACAAGCCCCTTGTCGTTACTACAAAAGGCCTCATTTAATTGCTCATTTCCCATTCCAGACACCAGGGGAGTATTTGATCACATTATTATTTTTTTTAAACATCAATTCATTGAGATGCATAGCTCCAGTTCCACAGGGTAGGAGAAGGTAAAACACGCTGCCAGGAGGGCAGTGGCAGGGGATGGACAGACAACTCTTCTGCAGCCAAATTCATCTGCTGTAAATTGTACCTGCTCGGAATAGATTTTTCCCCTCTTTTCCTCCTCTTCTGCATCTGTCCCCCATGACAAACAAAAACCAAACAACAAAAATGTGGGGCTGGCCTTTGGCAGGTCACGAGGCAGCAGAAGGGGGAGCCAGACAGCTGTGGCAAGGCTGGGACACGGGACCTCCTCCGCGTACAGCCCCAGAGCCTGCAGGTTCCAGCAGCAGGTTGGAAAGAAAAACCCTCAAGTCTTGCTGCAATTTCTTGTTCCTGGGACGGAGGCACTGGAGACCAAGGTCCTGGGAGCAGTCAGCAAGGGAAAGGGAACAGGGAGGGAGGCACAAGGCACTCAGCAGTTAGCTGCCCGTTCCTCGTCCTTGCACAGGGAACACACCACAAAGCCAAGAAACATCCGTTTGTCTGTTTGGTTTGGAGCCCAGCACCTCCGAGATGTCCTTGGTGGATGGTCCTCTCTGCCGGGAGGATGGGGTGCTCCCAGCGGAAACTCAGAGGGTGCGGAGCAGCTGGGCCACCGCTGCCAGCCCCTCTTCCCGTCAACCCCATCACGCTCCTGGTTTCAAAAGCCTGTGTGAGTGAGGAAGGCATCCACATCCATGCGGAGATGCTGGACCTGCCTCCACCACGGCTGCTCCCAACAGCAAGACCGAAGGCAGGAAACCAGGATGGAGATGCCAGCGCTCTCCTGGTACAAGGAACACTTCTCCCAGCACCCCGAGGGCATCTCACAACTCCGCTGCTTGCCTAAGGCGCTGCTACCCCCACCCCAGACCCGGCAGGGCTGGCGAGAGGGGACAGGCTGCCTGTCCAGTCACACCACCCCAACCACCCCACTGCTCCTGACTCCAGGCTGTAAAATCCACACCAACCCCTCTGCCCCAGTATCTGGCTCCCTGATGCCCAGGGGCTCTCTTCACCCCCAGGAAGCCACGGGGCTCTGCCTGCCTCCCCATAACGTGCCCCAGAGCAACAAGGCCTCCACGGACACACGTGCAGCATCATGCTCAAAAAAGCACAACCGCCCCAAAAACCCAGCAGAGACAGACAGCGTGGGCAGCGCTGGCCAAGCTGTGGGCACGTGGACAGCGTGTTAACAGCCCACCTCTTATGGAGAAAACCAGCCCAGAGCAGAGCTTTAGGGGCTGTAGGCACACCACGACTGTGGAGGGGGGTAGACAGAGAGGCATCAGTCAGGCTCAGAGGTCCTCATGCCCGGCAGCAGCGTGGTCAATCAGGAGGTACCACTTCAGCCTGTCTGGAAGAGGTAGAGCCTTGATTTTGACATCTACTGGCCATGGTTTAAGGCGCTGCCGGATAAACACCCTACAGAGATGTTTCAATGCCTGTGGGGAGCGCTCCAGCTGCTTCAGAGAGCAGAAGAGAGTCCTGATCTTCTCCCCATGGTACCTACAGCTGCTGGTGTTGACCTCAAAGTTGCTGGGCAGCTGGACGGCTTGTGAACTGGCCATCATAAGCTCCAGCAGAGTCTGACCCTTCTGGATGAGGTCTGTAGAGAAGCCGTCGTCTTCAGAGACGCTGAGGTGTGAGCAGAGGCACTCAAAGACGATGTGGAAGCCTGACCAGCACGAGGGACCGTGGAGGGAGCAGTTGTAGGCAGCACCCGACTCCAGCAAGAAACGCAGCAGCGGGAAGTGGCGTTTGAAGCTCTTGAAGCAGAGGTGAGTGAGGGATTCAGGGGCTGGGCACTCGCTGGGGTTGGCACCATGGGCCAGCAGCAGTTGTGTAACACGGAAGCAGAAGCGATTGATCACCTGCGCTTCCTCAGTGTTGCTGCACACCATCTCTCCCAGCAGGAAGATGACGTAGGTGAAGACAGTGTCACCATCTTTGGTGGTGGCTCTGACGTCCGCACCTGGAGGAAGGGACAAAGAGCATAACTGGCATTGCAGACGAGGCCAGGGCAGCACTAACTCTGGCGCTGCTAGGCTTTACTCTTGCTCAAGTTGAGAGCATAAAAGAGTTGAGAGGGCAGTGTCTGGCGCTGTACAAAGGATCAGCCAGCGCTAGGCCTGGAGGGACTGCGCATGGAGAGGGGAGAAGGTCGCCCTCACCTCCTTCCAACAGGAGGCGGATGCTCTCGGTGTTGTGGATCTGGACACCGTCACTGCTGGCCAGGGCGTGCAACAGCGCCGTCTTTCCTGCAATGGAATAATCTGTCAGTCAGATGAAAATAGGGTGATACCCCAAAAGGCAGGAAGGAAAACGACCCACCCCACCAACCAGATAGCCGAACATGGGGAGAAACAGCCCTTCCCCTTCTGGCAGGCTCCTGCTGTCCCCCTGATGGTGCACAGCTGTTGGGACAGGGTCATAGGCCACATGTGCAGGGTTGGCGGTGGCCCCAGAGGGCATGCGCGCCATGGCAGAGTGGGGTTTAGAGCACGGGGGCACCACAGGCCTATGGAGGCACGGCCTCATCCCCTCTCCCATGGACTGCACAGAGCTGGTTTCAGCCCCCTTCGGCACCTGACACAGCCAACATACAAGGAGAAAGCACAGAGCACCAGGGAGGTTCTGCAGCCTGCACCCAACTTCCAAACCAGGTAAGTTTACAGCCAGAGAGCATTTGCAGCAGCGAGACGGAAGGACCCAGACCCCGTGCCCTGCACTATCCCACCCACAAGGGCTGACTGCTGGGAGCACCCGGGCTGGGGGAGCAGACGGGGCACACATACCGTTTTTGTCAGCTGCGTTGACATCGGCCCCCAGCTGAAGCAGCCGCTGGAGGCATGGCAACCGCTCAGGCTCCTCGCTGGCCAGATCAAGGGGACTGCTCTCATGGATCTGCACAGAGCAAGAGGGAAAAAAAAAAACAAACCCAAAACATTAGGAAGTATTAAAGACTATTTGTGAACGCCTCCGGAGAGTCACTGCTGGGGCTTCACCATGGCCAGCGTAAGAGCATATTTCAACCCATCCCCAAAAATCAAAGTGAACCTTCCCTGGTGTGTCCACAGGGAGAGGTTTGTCTACCCCAGCCTCTTCCCACCCATTGCTCCACGGCAGAGGCAGGTTTGCTTGGCCAAAGGCAACCTGAACTTCTGCCACAGCATCAGAGCACTACGGACAATGGGCACAGGAGGTTGCCGAGGGGAAGCAGGGTGCAGTGAAGCCCGGGAGGTGGGAGCAGGGTGGGCTGTCCCCACACACCAGTCTCTCACAGCTAAGTCTCAAGGGGGCTCAGCTTGGCCGTGCCCTGGCAGCTATGCCCATACCCGGTCTCTGCGGTTGATATCAGCCCCATGGCGCACCAGGAGCTCCACCATATCCGGCTGGTTGCGGAGCACTGCGATGTGCAGGGGGGTGTAGTAGGTGACTGGATCTGAGGACAAAAACCACAGAGTCAGAGAGAACTAAGGCCTTCCCCAGAATGGCCCTGACACCTGCCAGAAGCAGAAGGGGGCAGCTGGGGAGTGCCCGGAGAACACAGAGATGCCCGTGAAAGCAGGGCTGTCACAGACACCCCAGGTCCTCCTTTTGCAATGGCTCCACCTCTGGCAAAAGTCCTTAGAGGTTCCAACTGGCCCCCAAGCCCCTGGCCGTCCCCCAGCCCCTCCCTGTGGCTGGG